GCTTTTTTATTAATTTTCCATATTGAGATTGTATTATAAGAATTCTTTCTGAAGTTAAATCAGTATTCTCTCATTTTAAAGAAAAATGCATGATGTAAGTCTTAGATATAGCACATTCTTTGTCTATTAGTATATATGATTTAATTAGTTTATAATATTAATGATTACTAATAATATTATCTATTTATATAGGATTATTTAATAGTATTCTTTAATATTAATTAGTTTCTATAATGATAAACTAGTAAAAAAGTTTTTAAGATTACTATATTTAATTTTATTAATAGATATTATTTAAATATTTTTATTATATACTTTGACTATTGTAACCTGATCAATGATCTATATAGGATTTTCTGATACATAATTTATAGTAATAATAATATGTTAACATTGCAGAAATTTGACATAATTTGAAATAGCAATAATGAAATTATCAAGTGTATCATAAAGCTATTCAAAATTCTTCTTTAGCATTCACAATAATATAACATATGAAACAAAATTTTAGTAATATAAGTTGAATTCATTTGTATCAAAGAATCTTTATGATTGTTTATATGATTTTTGATTTGTATAGCTGAAAAACTTATGGAAAAGCTCAGGTATGTAACAATCTTGTTCTTTGAATTTCTCATGATCATACATGTTAATATACCAAATTATTTCAACTAAGCTAATGATAAATTATTTTTCTTGTGTATTAGTAAGTGATTGAGTAGACCATCCTCTATTATAAAGACGAATCTAATCAATAAGATCATAATATAATACTTATTTATGATTTAGTTTTTCTGATTGTGAGAAGATCAGCAGATATAATTAGATTTGATATGCATTTTGCATCATAATTATAAAGCTGTTTCATTGTAATATAGAATTAGAAATTATATTGATATTATTTTTAAGCTGATAGTGCATATGCACTTCTATGAATACTATAAGTTTTATAATACTGCAGTTAAGACTAACTTAAGTTGTAAGTAATATAGGTATTTTTTCTCAATTTAGCATATTCTACTACTTCAGAAATTGTTATAGCAATATTACATTCAGAAGATAATTGTTTAGTTACAAGCTTTATAAAAAATCTATTAATATCATACTATGAGAAATAGGATGAATATATTATCTATAAAGAGTTTGTGATCCTTTAGAGATGTGAATATTTATAAATAGCATATTAATGAAGTTTAAAAGAAGATTTGTAAAAGAAAAAATTTTTGTTTTAATGTGATTTTATTTAACGTATGTGAATTTATTCTGATTTTTAATTATAAGTGTATTCATAAAAGGAAATTTAATAAGATATAGTTAACAATATACAGTTTTATAAATCAATTCTTCTGCTTAATTTGATCAATGAAATACAGTTAATTTATATATTAAAAGTTAGCAAAGTATAAATAAATTTATATAGTTATAAACATATAATTCATTATTATTTATTAATTACTTAAATAATATATATAAAAAAATAATTATATTTAAATTTTATTATCTCATATATAATATGAAATATTTTAATATATGAAGTTTTTGAGTGAATAACTGGATTATAAAACTTTAAATGCTAAATATCAAATTTTATTGGTTAAAAAATTTTTTGGACTTAAAAACAAAAATCCAAGTGGTTGTATCAAACTAAGCTAACTTTAGATATGTAAGCCATAAATATTAGTTTGTGTTACTTTACTTATTATTTAGATATTAGCTAATATTTTAAGATAAATCTATTTATTTAAAGACAAAAGTTTTAACCTTTTTGAATATTATTTGATTTCATATTACCAAAAGTTTTAAAATTTTCAGATATAAATATATAAAGTAAAATTTAAAAAATATTTTATTTTATATAATTCATTAATATTATGAATTTTATTTGTTTATAAATTATATACAAATGAATTATCTTTTATTTAAAGTTGATTGTTTTAACATAATGAAAAAATAAATGAATAAAAAAAATAAATTATATAAATATTATTTATTTTTTACTACTATTTATTGTATAGTTTTTATTTTATAAATTTAATATAATTTTTTTTTATTATTAAGTAATTATTAAATTATAAATTTATTTACTAATCTTAAAATTTACAATTATATTAAAATAAATTTCACTATTTTTTAGATTATAACTTGATATATATATTATATTTTTTAATAAATTTTTAACTGAATTAAATATATATAAAGTTGTTAGATAAAATCTAGAGGTTTTACAAGTCATTTAAATAGAAAAAGGTAAAATTTAATAAAATTATATTAAAATCTTATTAAAAAATTAGTGAAATTAAAGTTTAGATATTTTGCTAAATCTAAATGAGTATAGACAAGCAATCTTAAGTATATATAATACTATAAAAATCATTTTTGATTTTAAGTTCAAAAATGAATTAAAAATTTTAATAATATATATAAATAATTATAAATATATTATTTTGAGATAATTATTATTATATATAAATTTTTTTTTTCTTAGTGTTTATAAAACATAAAATTTAACCTTATTAAAAGTCTTATTACTTTAGATTAATACTCTTTATAATGAATGATAGTTATGTTAAAAAAAGAAAAAAGATTTATTATATAAATTATTATATTTTTTTATATGAACTATTATAAACTATTATTAAAAATTTTAAATTTTGAGTTTGTGTTTGTTATAAAAAGGATTGTTATAATCAGTTTTAATTTTATAATCTAATTCTCCTTTTAAAAATTAATATCATTTAATTTAAACAATACAAATTATTATTATAAAGATTATCTGATTCATTCTTTTAATAATATATCTTTAAATATTCATACAATAAATAAATAAATCATTTTATTATATTTATAAAATTATTTTTTTATTTATTTATTAATCTTTTAAAAAAGTACTTGATAGCTCTGTTGTACTTCAAATATATTGATATCTGAAATACACATTTGAGATACTTTAAATAGGAATGCGCAATTTAGATATCCCAAATGTAAAGATATTCGCTTGCCCTAAATGCGAATTTGTCTTAAATGCACATTTCAGATATCCAAAATGCATATTTTAGATAATATTCCAAATAAACATTTTGGATAATGTCCCAAATGCACATTTCAAATATTCCAAATGTGCATTTCAGACAATATCCCAAATGAACGTTCAGATAATTTTCTAAATGCCTATTTCAGATATCCCATATGCTCATTTTGAACAATGTCCCAAATGTACACTTTGGATATCTAAAATGCGCATTAAGGATAATATTCCAAATGCTCATTTTGGATGTTCCAAATAAGCATTTGGGTTATTCCAAAAGAACAATTCAGACTTATTTCGGACTGTCCTAAATGACCACTAATGATTTGAGTTTATTAAATTACAACCTCGTATTTTATATTTTATTTAAAGTAAATTAATGGAAAATTTAAATTATTTATATTCAATATTTATATTTATAAAACTTTATTTTTATTAAAATGTAAACAAACTTTACAATGGCATTTAGGACATCCGAAACGTGCATTTGGAGCAAGCGAATATCCCAACCGATCATCGCATTTGGGATATCCCAATTGCGCATTTCGGATATTAACGCATTTGGGATACAACAGTTCTAATTCAATGAACGTTATTAAGAAGTTTCACAATTAATCAAAAGTTTTTATTTAATTTATATTCCTTTTAAGTTTTAATTATCAAATTTAACATAAAGCTTTTATAGTTTGAGAAATTTTTCATTAAACCAAATGAGAACAAATAAATAGAATGCAAAGGATTATTTAAAGTTCGACTACAAAATATTTTGACAGGTTAAAAATAAAGTTTAATTCATTCTGTCCTTTTAAATATTAAATCGATTGGATGTAGTCCCGTTATTGTACCATTAGCACGTCTAAGATGTAATTTATCTTTATGAATACTATCTACTGGTAAAGATATCTCATATTTTCTTACTATATATAGAGAGAAAATAATTAATTTCAGAAAGAAAATAATACATATAAAGAAATAGACAACTTACATAAAGCACACAACATCACTCTTTGTTCAATAAGTGAAAAATTAGTACCAATACATCTATTTAATATTATTAATAACAATAAATAAGTTATACAACGAAAAATCAAAAAATAAAATCAAAATCAAAACCAAAAATCTTCGACATACGATCTGGTACCACCACCAAAAGTTAACCAAGTATGAAGATCGCGTTTTTCATGCTCGTTCTCAAATCTTTCAGGAATAAATTCTTCAGGATCCTTCCAATTTCCTGGTGAATGATGGATTCCATAAATATTTATGAATATGGGTGTTTTGGGCAAAAATACATGATTCCGAAATTTAATAATCTCTGCATTTTCTCTTCGCGGCAATTGATGAACCTTAATAATAAAAAATATATATAAAATTTTTTAATAAATAAATTTTGTCATGTCACAAATTTCAAACTTTAAAGAATACAAACTGGAGGATATAATCTCAAGTTTTCATTTATAACCATGGTCATATATTTTAATTCTCTTTGTTGTTCGATGGTTG